ACAGTGGACCCAAATCCAGCTGTTGTTGGTTTCATTTGATGGTGGTGAAAATCAAGATGGGTTGGCTTCATGTGTGGTCCACCATTATTTCGACCTGTAACTATCCGCTTTTGCCAAATTGCCTTGATGGGAAATGTCTGTTCAGGACCACTAGATAGCATTGCAACCCCACTTTTGAGAAATGAGCTCCTAGTAGCAAAAAGGCTATAGTTTTCTTAGTTGCAATGTATGGCTGTGAAAGTTGGACCATAAGAAAGACTGAACACCAAAGAATGGAGGCCTTTGAACTATGGTGCTGGAGAAGACTCCTGCGAGTCCCCTGGACTGCAAGGCAATCCAACTGGTCAGTCCTAGAGGAGATCAACCCCGACTGCTCTTTAGAAGGCCAGATCCTGAAGTTGAAACTCAAGTACTTTGGCCACCTAAGGAGAAGGAAGGACTCACTGGAGAAGAGCCTGATGCTGGGAAAGATGGAGGGCAAGAGAAGAAGGGGACGACAGAGAACGAGGTGGCTGGATGGAGTCACTGAAGCAGTAGGCGTGAGCTTCAATGGACTCCAGAAGATGGTAGAGGACAGGAAGGCCTGGAGGAACATTGTCCATGGGGTCATGATGGGTCGGACATGATTTCGCAACTAACAACAACTGTGTGTAGGAAACACAGATTTTTTTCATTCATTCATTCCTTGTATCATTGCCTAATTATGACTAACTAACAACAACAAGAGCTGAAGGGAACCTTGGAGATCATAGGTTTCTAACCGCTCCATAGGCGCCCAAACACTTTTCACCTGGACGGAGAAATGATGGAGACTCGAAGCTTCGTCTGCTTGCAAACGGGGCAGTTGGAAACGGATCAGATCCCTTCCTTCCAACAGACAAAGCTTCCAGTCTCCCTCTGGGCGAAAAGAGTTTGGGTGCCTATTGGGTGCTTGCGACAGCTCCACCCCCTCCCCCACCTGCCTCGCCTTGTGGTGGCAGCACGGCATCATGGGCTACGTGGCCTCCTGCTGCAACTGGCCACAAAAGCAGCCCAGCAGCCACGCAGGCTCTTGCTGGATGGGGCTGTCAGTGCCACCGCCGTGAGGCAAGGCAGGGCTCGGGAAAAATATAAGACAACCCCTGAAAATGAGACCTACTGCCTCTTTTGAAGGGTCTTATTTTGGGGGAAACACGGTAGGTGGTGGCCATCTCCATTTCAAAGCCAGTGCTGTCCTAAAACATTTCCCCAGTCATGTGGCCAGCACGACAGCACGGAGCGCTGTTACCTTCCCACCAAAGTGGTACCTATTTATCTAGTCACATCTACGTGCTTTTGGACTGCTAGTTTGGCAGGAGATGGAGCGAGGAACGGGAGCTCACCCCGTCGCGTTGTGCTCGGATCTCGAACCTGGGCTGTCAGCTTTCCAGCCGACAAACCCAGTGTCTTAACCGCTTGAGTCACCGTGCCATGTTTAATAAGATGGTCTTTTATAGGATAATCTTTAACAGAATGGAGATTTTTGAGAAGAGGCTAGACCGTCACTTGTCTGAGATGGTATAGGTCAGTGATGGCAAACCTTTTAGAGACGAGAGTGCCCAAACTGCAACCCAAAATGCACTTATGCATCGTCGACTGCCGGTGGGTGTGGCCCATTGGCTGGGCGTGGCTCATTGGGTGGGCATGGCTGCGATGGTAACGGCAGGCTGGGTGGGACTAAAAAGTTCAATCAATCAATTCCAACTTTGCAAGATCGGTTTTTTCCCCCGCAAGAGGTTGAAATTGACTGATTGAACCTTTTTTTTTTTTTTTGCACATGGCGGACTGGGGTGACGGTGCATGTGCCCACAGAGAGGGATCTGAGTGCCGCCTCTGGCACCCGTGCCATAGGTTCGCCACCACTGGTATAGGTCCTCCTGCTTGAGCAGGGGGCTGGACTAGAAGACCTCCAAGGTCCCTTCCAGCTCCATTCTATCCAAAAGAATGATCCCAGGTTCTCTTTCAACCCCGTTATTCTACGTTCTGTTTTCTATGCTTAATAGGATGGTCTTTAATAAGATTAAGCCTGGGTGGTGAATAGGAAAGGCTGATGTATCTCCAGAACACGAGGCTGGCTATAAAAAGGACACACTGTACATTCCTCCCGTGGAGTTAGACTTTCGACAGATGTTCTCCAGATGTTCCGGCTGGGAGAGCTTTCATTTTCATAGAAGTCTGTATTCCTCACTAGCAATAAATTAAAAATCCCAAAGCATCACAGTCAATCCTGCCAGCCACAGATGGGTCTTGGGAAGTAAAAAAAGAGGGATGTCTAGGGAGATTCTTAATCATCCAGATCATAGTTGTCTCAAAGATGCTTTTTCAAAAGACAACCGGGCTTTCTTGGTTCGTTTTTTCCTCCTTAAAAACATTCTACTCTGATTATTTATTTTTGAAAATAGACATCCTCAAATACAGTCTCCGTATTAATTCAAAACATTTGGATGTTAAGAACAGGTCACTTCTTTTGCTGGGTATTGAGATAAAAATGGTATATCATTGGGTATTGAGATAAAAATGAAATGGTAGGGGGTCTCCTGCTTGAGTAGGGGGCTGGACTAGAAGACCTCCAAGGTCCCTCCCAGCTCTGATTCTGAGTATGGTCCTTTCATCCATTCCCTGCCCCACCCCCTTTGAAAACAAAAATACAGGTCATATTTTGGCTTTTTTTTTTCTTTCAATTTTTTTTTATTATTTCATGTGCTAAAATACAAAAATGAGAAGAGAAAAATATATAACATTTAAAAATTTTTTTTAACAAAGAATACATCACAGTGTGTGTATAAAATACAGTCCCATGACAAAGCGTGGCTCACTTTTTGAACCGCAGACTTAAATTTTAACCTTTTCCCTGTGTTTACAAAGAACCCTTTAAAATCCTGAAAGTGAAACTCATTTTTTTTTCAGTCTACGATTTTTACATTTGTCTTGCAGTTTCAGGATTTCCTCTGTTACGTTCAAGGACTGACAAATTTCAAATTTTGGGGGATACCCTTTTAACATGACATTCACATCTTAATTCTTTCCATAACTTATCAACAAAAGCATAAATAGTGAACAGAAATGGGATAACCGAGTCTTTGCAATGTATATTTTAGAGGCTTAGCAGGTAGAAGAAGCAAAGATTTTAGAATGTTACATTTGGGTAAGATCCGTGATGCAGCTTAAAGGTTGTTGTTTTTTTTTGTAAATTTTAATTTTTAATTTTTTTAACATTTTTATTTTTAATTTAATTTTAAAATAAATTATTTTTAATTTTATTTTTTTGTTGAAACTTTGCCATCTCTAAGAGCTTTTGAGACAACGCCAGATTTTGGAGTTAATTTGCAGTGAGGTGTCCATTCAAGATTTGCTTAAGAAAGTCCAACATAGCTTATATCATGCATGCTTATTGGATCCTTGTTAATAAACTTTTCTGATTCCCATGTAAAACGTCCATTACTATGTAAAAAGAACAACTATGTGCCCTCAAGTCATTGTCAAAATATAGTAGATATGAATGACAATGACTTGAGGGCACATAGTCCATGATAATGTGTCCCCAACTTGGTCAACCATAGACAACACAAAAACAATCAAAGCAAAAGTATTGTCCTAGTGGACAATCACTTAGATATGAGCCAGCCGTGTGCTGCAGCTGCCAAAAAAGCCAACACAGTGCTAGGCTGCATTAACAGAGGGTTAGAGTCAAGATCACGGGAAGTGTTAATACCACTTTACCATGCCTTGGTAAGGCCACACTTGGAATACTGCATCCAGTTTTGGTCACCGCGATGTAAAAAAGATGTTGAGACTCTAGAAAGAGTACAGAGAAGAGCAACAAAGAGGATCAGGGGACTGGAGGCTAAAACATACAAGGAACGGTTGCTGGAATTGGGTATGTCTAGTTTAATGAAGAGAAGGACGAGGGGGGACATGATAGCAGTGTTCCAGTATCTCAGGTGCTGCCCCAAAGAAGAGGGAGTCAAGCTATTCTCCAAAGCACCTGAAGGCAGGACAAGGAGCAATGGGTGGAAACTCATCAAGGAGAGAAGCAACCTAGAACTAAGGAGAAACTTCCTGACAATGAGAACAATTAACCAGTGGAACAACCTGCCTCCAGAAGCGGTGAATGCTCCAACACTGGAAATTTTTAAGAAGAGACTGGACAGGCATTTGTCTGAGATGGTGTAGGGTTTCCTGCCTGAGCAGGGGGTTGGACTAAAAGACCTCGAAGGTCCCTTCCAGCTTATTCTATTCTATTCTATTCTATTCTATTCTATTCTATTCTATTCTATTCTATTCTATTCTATTCTATTCTATTCTATTCTATTCCCTATTCTATTCTATTCTATTCTATTCTATTCTATTCTATTCTATTCTATTCTATTCTATTCTATTCTATTCTATTCTATTCTATTCTATTCCATTCCATTCTTAAACATTCTGCTTTCTTGTGGCCATCTATGCCACGGATAGGACAATGCAACACTGTGCTGGCCTTGACAGAAATACGTGCTCTGGCTTATGAAATGTGTGGACTTAAGGGGAAGAAGCCAAATGGAAGAAGCTTCCTTTTCTATAAAATACCGATAGTCCTCGACTTACGACCACAATTGAGCCCCAAAATTTCTGTTGCTAAGCGAGACGGTGGTTAAGTCAGTTTTGCCCCATTCTACTACTTGTTAAGCGAATCTCCGCAGTTGTTAAGGAGACCGTGGGGATGTCGCAAGGGTCGCGAGCGTGAGAAACGGTCGTAAGTCGCTTTTTTTTTCCAGTGCCGTTGTAACTTTGAGCGGTCACCAAACAAACTCTTGTCAGTTGAGGGCTGCCCGTATGGAGCTGTCCACTTTCTCCACTCTCCTTTGCAAGCGGTACAGCAAGGAATATTTCCAAGGAGATGGGGACAGTTTTGGAAGTCATCTTAACCCTGAGTTTCCTTTCATTTTTCTTTCTTTCTTTTTACTTTATTTTGTTTCAACAGCACCTAGCTTAGCAAAAAACCCAGCAATGCCACCGCCATCCCACCCTGGACACTAACGCAAGGCAGCTGTTGGAATCCTTATTTTTAGCTAATGAGATACGCACCGAAAAAAGTGTACCGAACATCTGGCTGTACCAATCCGGGGTTGGAAACATTAACCATAAGCCTCTCGTCTTTCTTTAACGGGACGATTCCTGCCAGATAAAGGCTTTTCAACGATTTGCTCTCGTTGATGGGGCTGATGGACGCGAACAACTCGCTGGGTTTGGGATAGGCTGACGTTTTATGTATAATCGTCTGCCAGACCTTCCTTGTCCCTTTCATTTTCTTCCCGCAGCAAATTTTCTCTTCGCAATTGCACTTAAAGCAGGAAAACGTCACTTGGGAATAAACGAAATATTTCCCATCTTGGGGAATGATGAAGGAAGTACTGTTATCATCCAGCTGGAACTGGCCCTCTTGGAAGTCAATGTCCCAGACGAGAGTTGAACCCTCCTGAGTCTCGTTTATACATTTGCTCCCAGAATCGACTGTGAATAAAGAGAAAGAAAATCTAGTTTACTGGCAGGTTCACGCTGGACATTCGACGATACGATCCTGTTTTCTAATCTCTCGTGCGCAGGCCGAATTTTATTTTGCTATCCTACTAAAAAGAAGACCTAGTTCTAGCAACTGACTGTGCCCTTTGTGCTGGACAGACCCAGGATAAAACCACAGATGCAATGCAGAATACCAAATAACAAAGTTGGATGGACTTTGGAGGTCTTCTAATCCAACCCCCATGTTATACCATTTCAGACAAATGGCTGCCCAATCTCTTCTTCAAAACATCCAGTGATGGAGCAAGCACAACTTCTGGAGGCAAGCTGTCCCACTGGTTAATTCTTCTCACTAACAGGAAATGTCTCCTTAGTTCTCGGTTGCTTCTCTCCTTGATTAGTTTCCACCCGTTGCTTTTTGTCCTGCCTTCAGGGGCTTTGGAGGATAAGTCAACCCCCTCTTCCCTGTGACAGCCACTCAAACATTGGAACAATGCTATCATGTCACCCCTAGTCTTTCTCTCTGTTACCCAGTTCATGCAATCATTCATCATAGGTTTCAGCCTCCAGTCCCCTAATCATCTTTGTTGCTCTTCTCTGCACTCTTTCCAAGAGTCTCAACATCTTTTTTACATCGTGGCGACCAAAACTGGATGCCTTCTTCCAAATATGGTCTTATCAAAGAAGTATAAAGTGGCACGAACATTTCACGTGATTTTGATACTATCCCTCAGTGGATGCAGCTTAGGATTGCGTTGGCTTTTTTTGGCAGCTGGCTCCTACTTAATTGATGGCCCACTAGGACTCCTAGATCCTACTCACAGTTACAATCCTGTAGCACACTCAATTATAACGCCATAATATAAGCTGAAGAACTTCTAAACTAAAAGGTCCACTACGTGTCCTCAAATGAAGCTCTGTTTATTCAAAGTTACAAATGTCTCGTAAAGCACCTTCAGAGGGACCCATGGCAAAGAAGCCTTTTGGACTTGCAAAAAATTTTTTTACCTCTTGCATGAATGCTCGGCCGGATTTTAGAATCTGAAATATAAAGGGAAAAAAAAAAAGATGTTAACACCACCAGAATAATATCTCTGTAATCCGAGGATTTACAAACCACGTTCTGATAAAATTCCAGAAGAAGCTTCCTTACCAATGACAAATGCACAGCTGCATTTAGGAAATATAGAAATATAGATATTTATATAGATAATAATAATAATAATAATAATAATAATAATAATAATAATAATAATAATAATAATATTGGAAGGGACCTTGGAGGAGTCCAACCCCCTGCTCAGACAGGAAATATATTTAGGAAATATAGAAATATAGATATTAAATATAGATAAGATCTTTATGGCTACACATATTTGCCTCTACCCAGACATATATTGTATTGGAATACTTAATTGCGATATTGAAATCTCAGCTTTCCTTTCTGATCATAACTACAGAATTCCATATGCAGGAATAATATTTGAGCAGCTTACATCTGTTATTAGGGGTCCTGTGAACTCTTTGATCTTGGTTGTTTTCTTGCAGACGTCTCATCATCCAAGTATCACTCAATATCAATCAGAACAGAGCTGGAAGGGACCTTGGAGGTCTTCTAGTCCAACCCCCCCAAATTTTTTAATCTGTGCCAGTGTATTCATACAAAAAAGTGACAACAAAGGTTATCTTATCTATCTTATCTTTTCAGTCCTTCTAGCACTGATGATGCTACCTAGTTGGGTAATGAAACATCTGCAAGAAAATAACCAAGTTCAGAGAGTAACAAGGACTCCACAGTCATCATTCTCCTCCTTGTCTTCCTCCTCCTCCTCCTCCTCCTCCTCCTCCTCCTCCTCCTCCTCCTCCTCTCTCCCACTCCCTTCTAACACTGATGAGGCTACCTTGTTGGGTAATGAAACGTCTGCAAGAAAAGAAGCAAGTTCAGAGAGTAACAAGCTCCACAGTCATCATTCTCCTCCTCCTCCTCCTCCTCCTCCTCCTCCTCCTCCTCCTCCTCTCTCCCACTCCCTTCTAACACTGATGAGGCTACCTTGTTGGGTAATGAAACGTCTGCAAGAAAAGAAGCAAGTTCAGAGAGCGCCCAGGACCCCTCATTTCAACCCTGAACTGCAAATATTCTTCTTTCTCGGTACGTCTGTTATTCTGGTCATTATACTTTAGGAGATTTTCTAGGAAATTCTTCTATCCCCGATTCCTGATTCCTTTCAGGCGTTTGTGTGACTTCTAGGCCAGCAAATTTGAGTTCCTTCCTTTCTGGACTTGGGTCTGAAAACCGCAACATCCCTGGACGAACATCTAAAAAGCATCTGTTGTCTGACAACTTTCCTTCTTTCGAGCCAAGAGAAATTGTGTCTTCCCTGCCTGGGCTGGGCTGACTGTGACTCTGTTCCACTGTTTATTGTTAAATTCCAGTCATGAGATTAAAAACCTAAAATAGCACCTATTAGCCTCAGTGGAACAGGCCAGAAATAGTATTTCGTAATTACTGAAGTGAGTTTTTTTTCCCTCCCTGAGCAGTGTCACTTCCCCTTATGGAATTAATGTCTAGTGAGAGAATTCAGTTATTCTGCTATAAATCTGTTGCGCCACAGTTAAGTCGTAATTAGACAACGATACAAGGCATGAATGAATGAAAAAAAAATCTGTGTTTCCTACACACAGTTGTTGTTAGTTGCGAAATCATGTCTGACCCATCGTGACCCCATGGACAACGTTCCTCCAGGCCTTCCTGTCCTCTACCATCTTCTGGAGTCCATTGAAGCTCACGCCTACTGCTTCAGTGACTCCATCCAGCCACCTCCTTCTCTGTCGTCCCCTTCTTCTCTTGCCCTCCATCTTTCCCAGCATCAGGCTCTTCTCCAGTGAGTCCTTCCTTCTCCTTAGGTGGCCAAAGTACTTGAGTTTCAACTTCAGGATCTGGCCTTCTAAAGAGCAGTCGGGGTTGATCTCCTCTAGGACTGACCAGTTGGATCTCCTTGCAGTCCAGGGGACTCGCAGGAGTCTTCTCCAGCCACCCGAGTTCAAAGGCCTCCATTCTTTGTCGCTCAGCCTTTCTTATGGTCCAACTTTCACAGCCCTACATTGCAACTGGGAAAACCATGGCCTTGACTATACACACTTTTGTTGGCAGGGTGGTGTCTCTCCTTTTTAGTATGCTGTCTAGATTTGTCATAGCTTTACTGCAAGGCGATCAAACCGGTCAGTCCTAGAGGAGATCAACCCTGACTGCTCTTTAGAAGGCCAGATCCTGAAGTTGAAACTCAAGTACTTTGGCCACCTAATGAGAAGGAAGGACTCACACACATACACCTTGGAAAGTAAGAAGTCAAGAGACAGTAACGGACAGCAGGGGGTAAACTCACCACTGTTGTTGCAAGGTGGACTCCCATACTGTTTTTGGGGGGCAGACATCTTTCCCATCAGGATCTGCAAAAGGGGAAGCAGAGACACACGATAGGTTAAAAGCTAAAGGGACCAGATGCATCATCAGCCAGCAACATCTGCCTGCTCGGTTCTTCGATATTTCTCTGGTCAAACAAAATCCAGACATTGACTCATGTCTTCCAGCACCCATTATACTGAACTGAAGAA